ATTTACCACAGAAGGCAATTTCAAATTACTCCTGAAGACATGATTAACATTCTATATTTTTCAAAACTTCTATTTTTTATTTATGATACTTCAATGAGTAGTTGACGATTGACTCTTGAAATGTTAGAAATTTTATAATTTCTATGACTCTTTTCTAGCAACTTCAATGTGAAGATTCATTTTTTGACGAATTCGCGTCAACCTCATCTCATTGTATTTATTATCAGAAAAAGGGACAAAGAAAAAGATCTGAAAAACAAAGGCACATAGAAAATATCAGTAAATTTGTTGACTCAATGTGGAGTTTAAAAATGCAAATACTTACAGATTCTAAACAATTTTTGTTCATTATGTAAAGGATAATGTAAAGGGATGAGTGGAAAAAGCCCCATGTGACCACTGGTAAAATGCCAGATTCTCCTTCCATATTGCCTTGTCTTTCCTTGACAATCAAAAAGAGAATTTGATGTTGGAGCAAAGGTCACTTGAGGCTTTTTTCCCCTTCAAATTCAGGATGATGTCTAGATCCAACATAACTCTTCATTAGAAAGGGAATTTGAGGTAAGGTCATGGAGAGCTGGTAAAAAAAAGAAAACTCAGAGTGAGACACAAAGTTGGTTAGCAATTATCACAGTGAAATCTGGGCTGCAGACCTGGCCTGTTGACTGTGTGGTGTTCTCTAGTAAAACACTTTTATCTCAACATGCCCCTCTCCAGCCAGGAGTATAAATGGCTACCAGCACCAGGGAGACTAAATGAAATGAGAAAGGGTAACCTGGGATGGACTGAGACAAGTAATACTCCTATTCATCTAACAGAAACTGTGAGAAGTTCTGCCTGTGTGAGTCACTTGACTTAAGTACTGACTTTCCTTCAGTGCAGTGAATATTAATCTCTATTAATGTGAATCTAGACATTGATAACTGAGAGGCCTGGACTGGGTACAGGCAGGGTGCATATTAGTATTTTCTCTTTTCTTAAGATTGAGCAATTTGTTCAGCATACAAGTCATAAGAGCCAACGGCTATTCACCATCTCTGATGCTAATGCGTTTTAATTGCAAAATTACTTTAGTATATTACTGTTTAGGTGTGTACATGTTATTATTAATCTAGCAAGCAAGCAACAAGTTTATTTCTAGCTTTTAGAAAGTTTTAGTTTCCATCCCACCCAACATTGACAGTTTTGATTGTATCTTAATCTAATTTGTGTTTGTAATTTATTCTTGATTACTGGACTGGATTTTTTATGTAATAGTCTTGTGTGTTATTTACATAGGATATATACATTCAATAAACTGTCTGGTCCCAAAACAAGCCTCTGTCTGTTGTGGTGTTTAGGAGACTGTTTGATAGCATTATGATGGTGACTGTTATGAGTTTGCTAAAAATGGATGGGTTTTGGAGCAATTCCAAATGGAAATTTTGTTTTTAAGCTCTAAAATTATTATAGAAGAACACTATGAATAACAACAACTTACAGGTGATCACTGAGTGAGTAATACTAAGATATAATACTAAGAATAACATCAGAGCTTATTGGTCGATCATTATGTGTTGATCAATTCCAAGCTTCAATGTTCCCCCTTCCTGTGCATTTGAACTTTTGAGATTGGTTTCTTTATATTCCTGCCCCCCTCTCCCCACCCCCCAGGACAAAATCTGCATTAAAATGCCCTATCCAAGCACAACTTTTTATTGAACAATTGTTTGTGATCAATAAATGTTTCAGAATTTAGCAAAGGTTTTGGTTCCACTGTTAGGTTTTTTTTGCCTGTAAACATCATTCTACAATGTGATAAGATATCAGTGGGGTATGCAGGTGAAAGGAGAGGGGGATGTTGAAGCTTCAAATTGATCTGCACATTTAGAGCTTTTTCCTACCATGTTTAGAAGAAAGGCAAATGGAATCATCAAAGGAAGAAATCCTGTTGAAAATGACTTTGCCTTTGGAAAAAAATATCACAGTAAAGGTTATTTCTTCAGTGTCATAAATAAATAAAAAATATTTCAAGCTAGAGGAAATTTTTTAACTTAATGGAGATGCCTTGTGGAGGAGCATGTTTGTGGTGGATACTCAGACCCTTAATGTGTTACATGCAGGAGAACTGTTGACAATTCTATTTGTGAGTTTATCAACAGTACTGGAGGGTAAGCAAGCCATCGAAAGGAGCCTTCATGTGTATGAGCTGTGCAACATTTCTTCTGCCAGTTAAATTGTATTTATTTAAAATTTTCAGTATTTTAGTTATCAAAAACATTTAGAGACCCTATGATAGAGGGCTTTTCACTTCACAATTTTACAATCAATAATAACCAACTTTCTTTACTTACCTTCGCAAGAGTTCCTCTCTCCTGCCCTGGTTGAAATTCTATTTCCACAATGTCCAGCCACTCAGCTTCAGTATAAGAAAATATTTGCACAACATGTCTTTCATGATGAATCTACAGAAGACAAGTAGTTTAAATAAATGTCCCTAAGGCAAGCTTACTACTATCTCAAAACAAGTTGAAGTGTGCTATATGCACCTTAAACTAAGTTTTAAAGGATTATGAGGTACCCTTGCATCTTTAACCTGAGAATCTTGGTTATTTTCTCTAGCCTTGGTTAACTTTGAGTTCTCTGGGATCTTATCTCTTCAAAGCCCCAATGGTTGGTCAACCAATTCCCTAAAAACTTTTAACATGCCTCTGTTTTTCTTCCAGTGTCTCCATACAACCAGTAGAATGTCTGGGTGTCAGCAAAGTGTCCCAAAAACCTGACTAAAAAACTGAGGGGAAAGGGGAGGGGGATAACCTTTGAAATATCAGCAACACATCCAGGTGAAGAAGCACAATTCCTTGTCACTTTGTGGAATGAAAACTGGGATAGGTTGCATGCAGTGGAGTGGGTCTCCTGCTTGGCTCATTGGTCGCCTAAATGCAATTGACCACCCTTATATTGCATGAAACCAGAAGTATCTCAAATTTCACCATTTTTAACTTTTTTCAGACACATCTTTCAAATTTTTGTGAGAGTCCTAAAAGTTTCATGTCAAAATGGTTTGTTGCATTTAAAGGTCTACTAAAGTATTGAAGTCTGCTCTTCACTCACCTTATTTATATGCATCTTCTCAGTTTCACTAAGTAAGGATATGGCTGATACCAAATGTTCTAAGCACACTTCTGGAGTTGCTTCTGGTATTATCCACCTTAATGTTTTAATAAAAACATATCAACATATAATTTTAAAGTCAAATAAAGTATTTTTAATTTGGCTGGTCAAAAAAATTCAGGCAATTATCTGATATGAAAACCATACAACTTTCAGAACAGTCTACCTTTGGAACAATTACCTGTAAACAGCAACACCCTCACAGCTTTAGCTCTCAAGATCTTACTCTCTGCATTGTCTACCTCATGGCTCAACTTAATAAATTCACTAGAAACTCTATGAGGTATATTCCCCAGGGTCTCCTTGCGATGTCTTTAACTACTAAGACCTGACTGTTAATTCTCCCCTCTAGAAACTATGCATTTCCCTATAAATTTAGTGGGAGAATATGGTGTTTGATCAAGATAACAACATCCACCTAATAAAATCGAATATTCTCATTACCTATTTGCTGGATAATGATTGATATTATAAGGAGAAATTACATGTTAACCACATCTGGGAGTTAAAGGGTTAAGTGCTTTATACTTAGCTTCAAAACACTCAAATTTGACTCTAAAAGATGTTTGAAAACCTTTAAATTTAGCTCAGTCTATACAATTAGATTATCATTAGTTTCCAAAGAGTGTATAATACATTTTTCTCTGCATTGAACTAACAAATCTGCTCTGTGAGAAATAATCAATATTTATATGCATTTCATATGACCCTTAAATAATTCAATGTTTTATAATTTCACAGTCCAAATTTCACCTGTCATTCAAGTCTAAGCAGAAACCCAAAGAGACTAAATTATTAAGAAATATAGTGTTGCAAACAAGAAAGAAAATAAAAAAGCCATTAAATCTCTTGAAAGTACATTTAAACATTTAGCTTATGCATATAAATTACTCTTAGTTAATGGACAAATTCTGATAACTGTCTTTTGGATTTGTATCAGAACTCGCGGGGCTCCTTAGATGACCATGATTAGAAAAATATCAATATTGGTAATAATTCAAACGTAAAGTGCGAAATACTAATAAATCATTCACTTTCTCGTACGTTGAAGGGTTGCACGACCTAATAACATCATGCTGATTTCAATAAAAATATGACATATTTTGTTGTTTCTAAATACCAAACAGCTGGGTGTTTTGAATAGGACTTAACATGATCAGTTTCAAGACCCCACGCCAACGCAGTTAATCCAAAATATATCATCTCTAAAATCAAGAGATAATAATGGAGTGATCCTGTTTGGATTAAGTTTTTAAGGAAAATTTAAAGCATACCGAACGGATTCGCTGGTAATGGCATTTAAAATAAATGCAGTGTATATCATACAAGTAACAAGGAAAACGATTAAAGAAACTTACGTCTCTTTACAACTATGGAGATTTCTAACACCAGGCAACCATACAGCGGGTCTCAGTACGCCCTGAATTGGCGACTGCCACATGGCACAACAACAATCAGCTGAAGACATTTGATTACAGCAGTAGTGCTTCTTTCACCTTCTAATTCGATTCTCGGATGGCAACAGCGCGCCTACAAGTGGGAGTTGACAATTAACGGGACGGTTGACCGAAAATCGACCGAATATTCTCCGAAAATTACACGATCTTTCGTGAACCAAGTGGCGTGTCAGGACAAAATATGATATTTAAGGCCGAACCGGATAAAAGACTACCGGTAGTGATAAATGAAGTGTGATAAATCAACTTTACCTGCAAATGCAAATTTCGGTGACTTGTGTGGAAATATATCCCAGGCGTTCATAACAGTCGGCGTAGCGGGTGGCATGGTAATTAGTCAATTTTCGTTGTCATAGATACAGTCAACTGTTCTTTTTCCGCCATGTTTGAAGTCATAACATTCGCAAACGAATCAAAGAAACTCTGAATAAATACTGCGGTGATAAATTAGAACCTGACTTGGAGATCCAATTAGAATCCACTTACCGTGTTGTTAGAAATGGCTGCAGCAGTAGCACTATCAAAAGAGCCTCCTAACGCTACGGAGATCGAATTTGAATTAGACGATTTTGGAAAGGATGACCTCGAAGAAAATGACTCTCGAAGATCAGAGAGCATGTCGTCTGAAAGACCGAGAGCATTGTCTGTCTCTGATGTTTTGAGTCAGCATATTATGGAAAGGGATGGTATGGCTTCTCCGATTATCAGGGCTTTTACACGGAGTGCAATTAACCGGTGGAGAGGTAACGCGGAAAAGAAGATAACACGAAGATTGTTGGAGGTGAAAGCTGAGCGTAAGAAGCGAGATGCAGAAAGTAAAGAGCTTACCCGGCTTGTGGCTAGAACAGTTCCTTTGGATGTTTTGGCCAGAGACTGGCTTAATGACAACGAAATTAGTTCGGATGTGAGAGTGTATTTGGTGGAAAACCTCATGCCAACGTTGATTTTAGGAGTGGAGAAACTGTTGAACGAGGTGGAAAAGAGAGATTTGGCAGATTCTGAGGGGTTCTGTCCAGACTTCAATCCCATAGATTATTTAGCTCAGTTTCTTATGAGAAATAATCCCAGATACAGTAACTTTGCTGAAGCCTCTCCCTACGCAAAGGGCCTGCGCAAAGTAGTGGAAGACCTCAAGAAGGAGGTTTTTTCTATGGAAAATAACAAACTTGCTAAACTCAAGGCTGATGCCAAGAAGAGGCGCGAAGCAAGAGAAAAAGAGGAGAATGAAAGGAACAGGGAAAAGCGACGGCGTTCTATAGCATTAGAGGAGCAATTTCCTGAGTGGACGGCTGATTGGAATGGGGTTCTACCACTGTCAGTGGTAAGTTTCTTCATCAGCCCTTTCACTCCCAAGATATCACTATTTGTTCTCCTTACTATCTTCCATATCATTCTCACTTTGTTTGTTCAGAGAATTTGGCAGTGGATCAACTGATCATGCCCTCATTGATATTTTCCTTTATTCTCATCCCTTGTCTGCTTTATATTTTATTGATATTATAAGGAGAAATTCAGTCTTGGTCAATCGTGGGAGCTAAAGGGTCAACAGTTCAGTCCTAATTAACCCTTAAACACCCAGTAACAGTGGTGGATCCAGGGGGAGGGTCTGGGAGATTTAGGCCCCCAGTCAGACTCATGGGTAACAATAAGATCTCTTACTATTCCTCAACTTGAAATATCAAAATTTTACTCTTCTTGAATTATTTCATACATATTTAAGCACTAGTGTAAAAAGAAAACTCTTTATAATTTTTTTTCAAATCAAGTTTGGAATTCCCCACCCACAATTCTTGGATCTTCCCTTGAGTAATGCTTTCATGCCACATGAAAATTTCCCTTACACTGTTAATAAATAACCTAGCCAACAGGTGGTGGGATGAGACACTTAACTATGTTTCCCTGATCTACATGTTGGGCTAAATTCTCTCAAACCATTTTACAGGAAAATAAGGCTGAAGTTGACCATCCTGTGATAGAGACCATGATCTAGTTAGCATGATAAAAAGTTATTTATGTTTTAAGAGCAGCAAGGTTTGTATTATAACAAGGTCACCTCAGTCCTGTTCAAAGGCTTGGCAATCAAGCATGCAACTGTAAAATGGACTATTAAAAATCAGACCTTGGGATTATTAATTATGTGTACATACATTTATTAGCTGAAGTTTATTGTTAATTTGGACAGGAGGAACCATTTTTGTGACCTAGGACTTGATGAAAATGGTTGTAGGTTAAATCCATTGCTTAATTCAAGAATGCCACAAATGCCCTAACTTGCAATGATGTATTGATTCCCATTGCTTCTTAAAGAGGAGCTTTGTTTTTAAGTGGGAGAACCTGGGGGGAGGAGGGTGGGGAGAGGGGCTCATTGAAACCTTATTGATAAGAGCCAAAATGTCATCCAGTCTTTAATGAATAACTTGTAAATTAAAGAATGTTGTTTGATTTGAAATCCTGTCAAGCTAAAAAGAGGAACAAAGATAGCTTATCCAAAACTAAGATGTACATGTAAGATGAATAACAATGTTAAGAGTTTTTTTAAATGGGAGGAGGAGGTGCAGGCTGATTGCCTTTACAAAGTTGAAGTTCTGAATAAGAGACTTCCTAGAAAGGCATTATAGGCTTATTAGAGTGTTTATGATCCACTGATACATGTCAATATCACTGTAGTTTTTATCTGCTTTGAACTTTTGCTAAATTTTTGAGATCTACATGTAAATGAATCAATTAACAATCTTTCTTAAATTTCAGGTTCAAAATGTGCTGAAATCTTTTGAAGAAGTAGCCACAAATCTTCCAGATGAAATCAGGAAAGGTAATATTCTGAAATATCATCTCTGTGATGATTTGAAAGTCATCTCATTTCTCTTTTTATTCTGAAAATCATGAAATTCAATGTGGTTGTTTATTTACACTCTTGCAGGTGCAGCCTTTCTTATTCCTCTTGAAACAACAGATTCCACTGACAAGATGGTGAATCTTCAGCAATTTAAAGAAGTAAGTTTTGTTTTATTTGCATTATACACTTTCATAATATGATTAAGATCAATAAGATATGCATTTTTACTTTGCAATTGTCATTCTCAGCTACACTCAAAAGGTTATTTCTAATTCATTTTTGTTTAATTGCTTTCCACCACTGCTGCAAAATTCTACAAAATAAAGAGACATTTTCCATATATTTTTGCTCAACTTTTCTTTTGTATTTTTCAACTGTTGCTGCAACTGAATAAAGAGGATAAGTTTTTAAAGAAACTGTGATGCTCAGTTGGTGTATTACAGGGTAATTTTAAGTGTTATCAACTGAGTTGATAATGTAAATTGGCCTCTGTAAAGAGTTTAAAAGCTGACATTTTGAGTGTTAGCCCTTCATCAGAGTGATAGATAGCAATTGAATTGCTCTGACGAAGGGCTAACTCTCGAAACGTCAGCTTTTAAACTCTTTATGGTGGCCAACTTACGTTATCAACTCATTTGATAATACTAAATTACCCCATTGCTGCAACTTTTTGCTCTATGTTGTTGAATTTCATGTTGGTTTTTTCATTTCAGTATGTTCGTCCATATGCTGGCAATTTGTCTAAGGAAGCTTTCAATGCATTTATTGAACACTTAACTCGCTGTGCTGCACACTACAGAATTGCAACTGTGAAAGAAGCCATGAGGTAATATTAAAATTGTCATCATTTGAGTTTTACATTTGTAATAATTTTCTTTCCTTGGAATGGTAGACGTTATATTAATTTTTTTGTTGTCCAAACCTCCTAGAGGAAACAAATTAACCACATTTCTTCAATTTTCATGTTTTACCTTACAGACTTACTTTGAGGAACCTTTTCTTGAGCTGTGACATGAAGAATGTAAGTAACTCTGAAATAAAACCTCCTTTTCACTTACCTTCAGCTTGTATTTGTTGCTTAAAATATGGGACACAACAGTTTGTTGTCAAGATTTGTCTAACTTTTGTTTAATTGGTTCATTTCATTTAAATTTTTGTAAATGTAAACAACACTCAACCTGGAAACACATGTTTATTAAGTTAACAAAAATCTTAACCCAAAGTCAAGTTATTTTATGATTTTATCACATTTTTTTCTTTTTCCCAAGTCTGGTCATGTGGACAGAAAGCGTATTTTGGATATCATGAGCTCATTTTACGATAATGCCGTTGAAGCTGTTAGGTCTTCTTTACAAAATCCAAGGAAATGTAAGTTCTAAGTATCCAAATTTCTGTTCTCCCTTATTTCCAATACAACACAGGCAAGTAGGTTTTAATCCTACAAACTGATAAATATGGAAAAATTATTAGTTGAATTTTCATGAATTCTAAGTAGTTACAGGTCGAAGAAAATTAGTGATGTAACAAACAGCAACTGTTACCTGTTACTGCTTAACTAGGAGAGCTCTATGAAACAGGTGCAATATACAGGATTTTTTCCATCCTCTTGCTCAAATAGCAAGGATTGTAGGAAGGATAGTTTGGGGAATTTACATCTCCATCTAGAAAGGAAAGTTCATAAGAGCCACTTTCAGCTTTTAAGTAGTTACTGGCTGCAGTGACTGCACAGAAGATACAATGGGAAAGAAGAAAGGACAACCATCAGTGCATTTTGTTTGGATTAAATTTAAACAAAAGGCACTGACAAATAATTGTGCAGGGATGAATGCATTTGTGGCAACCCTTAGACTCAAATTTAAATTTACCGCTGGTTTATATGCAGTAATTGTAGAGGTGTTATCTGAGGATTTCCGATTGTGATTCAACCATTATTTGTTGTTTATCAGGGCCAGTTTTAGAAATAGAAGAAACCACAGATGAAGATGAAGATGAAGAGCCGAAGGGCAAACAAGACACTGGAACAGGAACAGATGATCAACCCAAAATACAAGTAGAACAAGCAGACCCTGAAGAAATCCCACCCAAGGAGGATGCCAATGAACCAGAACAAGTGTCAGAGGAACCAAAAGAAGGAGAGAAAGAAAAGCTAGAAGAGACTCCTGCAGAAGAAGACACTGCCCAGAAACCAACAGAAGAAGATGAAAAACCTCAAGAAGCTGAGGAGGGAGAGGAGCAAAGCATTGATAAAGCTAAGGAACAAACTGGTGATGGAAATGGTGATGAACAGATAGAAGGTTTGCACATGCTACTGCTTCCTCACTGTCCTATTTTTGAATTCTCTATTATCCAGAACATTAAAGAGGCAATTTTGTTATTATGATTCATTCCAATAGAGTAGATGAAATAGTTGAACATCTTATTGGAGTTTTCATCTACTGTTTTAAGGTGAGGAAGATGATAATCAAGACGAATTACAAGACAATGCTGTTGAAAAAGAGAACATAAAGGAAAAATTGTTAGATAACGAAGAAGAAGACAGAAAGCTGCTGGAATCAATCCCAGATGAAAGTATGTCTCATTTTATTTAAAATGCTCAATATTCTTACTACATAGAGGAGGATAATATTTAACACAGAAAAATGCTGTAAAACACAAGCATTGGTTGATATTGTTATTTCATTTGGTTGTATGCTTGTGGCACCACTGAAAAAATTTTTGTTTACTTTTACCCAACACATCTTGTGGAGCTTTTTGCTGTTTGAACCTTTGGAGTGATTTTCAACTTAATATTGAAAGTTATCCTGCTCTACTTTGCCCAGTGATTGGTTCAGAAAAGTCCCACCACCCTCTCAAACAATCTGATGCAACAATTTGGTTACTCACGTATTTCTGTGCCTCATGTAGTTTGCCTGTGATGTTTAGGCTTGCTGTGATTGGTTGTTGTATTGACTGTGTTTTTTTGTTTTATGACACCTAGTCCAAAACTGTTGTCTTTTAAAATTTTCTACTACCAGGACTTTTTATTTTGCAATGGGCAGCCTTTAAGACCACTTATTAAAATATTATGCAAAGTTCAAATTTTACTGAATTATTTTGATTATTAGTTGATGATCAGATGTCAGATCAGGAAGACACAGAAACATCAGCCAGCACACTACCAAGACCCAGGTCTGCTACTGAAGGATCAGCATTTGATGAAAACTCACTTAATCAGCCACAGTTTATACATTTGCTGGAAAAGTTTCTTGGAAATACCCCTATCAAGTAAGACTTAACCTGTAAATAGTATATAGATATTATAAATATAGTAGGTAAAAGATACTATAAATTATTGCAGAGATGGCCCATTATGGGATACGAACTTGAAAATGAAGAGTTATTTTTTGGAGATGCACAAACAACGACGTGCATCGAGAAATTTTCAGTTAAGTGTCAAAAGGAAATCGGGATTACACTGGCTCAAGATTGGCTTTACTTTCCAGTTGGTCTAGATAACCAGTGCCGCTCTTGCAACCAATCAGAGGGAAACTTGATCAATTTACTCCTAATTTGGTATCTTGTGTTTTACCGCTATTCGTGTAATCAGCGTGTTTTCACATTGAGTTCTCATTGGTTCTTTGCGACATGTTCCTTCGTTCTAATTGGTTGTTGTGATTACTTCGGATGTCGTCCTACGTCACTCAAAGTAACGTAGCGCACCAATCAGATGATGGCCACATCTGAAAACAGCACGTTGTTACGTGTTTTTATTCCCGATGATGTAAAAATTATCAACCTTTTCAATTCAGCGTGTCGCCTTAGAAAACCTTCAGTGTCTCACCCTCACAACTTTAAAGCTCAGATTTACCAAACAAACTTGTAAACTTGTGAGTAGATCCATGCAAGATAACTATTAACTGTATCATTGTCTTTCTTTCAACAGGCAAGTGTTCGATGATCTCGTCCGGTTTGTAAGAGCCAGCTATGTGGAAACAGATGATGAAAGAATGGCAAGAATAAACAAGGTGTGTGATGGGCTTGATTCGGTTCCTTGTTGTGATTGTCTATTGTGACGAAGTATTGAGAACATCACGGGATGAATTGCGAGAGAACAGTTATTTTTCGTTTATAAAAGCGAACTCTAAATTTGATAGTAGTTGAAAACGTACTGCATGGTATTATGTGCAAGTTTTTAAGAAATCCTCAACAACTTTTTTGTGAGATCAAGTCTCTTTTTGATGTTGTTTTTCCCTTTTTTAACGGAAATGGTCATGAAGAGTTCAAATGCATTCGCTGAGTGAAATAGGAGGGGTTATACGAAGTATAGTGTATGAGGGAATTGAAGTAGAACGAAACCCCCATTTTGTGACAGTTCTGTTTGGGGAACATCTCCAATCAAGGAACACGAAATTCGGTCCTGACGGCAAAGATGCTGACATGACCTTCTAGTCGCGAGTGTCTCCCTTGGATGGGACTTCTGCTGTCCACACTGACTGTAAAACGCGTCACGGACCGTGAAGCGGAACATTTCGATGTGTAGTAAAACACGTGCGTCATGAGCATATCACACGTGATGATTCACTTAGCTGATTAAATAGGTAATTTTCTTCTTATTAGGCTCGTTTAGAGGCACGTTCAGCTAAGAGGCGTCGGCAGGTGGATCAGCTTTATGAGTTGTGGGACGTGAACGCCTCTGGGTATCTGGAACTGGATGAAATTCAAGTTGTGTTGAACAAATGGCGCGTGGATGGAATTGACAACTTCAAGCAAGGTTTGTCCAGACATTTTTTCTTGTGGGGTGGCGGTAAAGTACCGGAGCGCTGAATGTGTACTTCTGAGGTTTGGAATCTTGGAAGGGGGGGGGAGACTTGGGTTGTTTTGTCCCATGTTCGTTACTCAAGAAATATTTCTCTCGTTGCTTTTTTGCGTCGTATTTTAAAACAACCTTATGATAGGAACGTTAGCAATATAGAAAGAATGGCGCTTAGCAGCAATTTGTTACTCTCCTTTTTCCTGGGAGCTCTTTTGAGTTTACAATGGAAGTGTTTTTCAGGAGCGCACAAAAGGAGATATGCCTCCCTTCTTTTATTCGCATTTTTGCATTGAATCCTAACAGTTCTTTGGTTTGTTACTATTTCAGCCCTGAAGGTATTCGGTGAAGTAGACAATACCCTCAACAAACGCACATTCCGTGAGTGTATTGATGCTATAATAAAGTCTTTTCCAGAAGAAGACGTGTTTGACTCATTGATCCACTTCCTCACCACAAGCGTAGAGGTGAGCTTCTAAAACAGCATTTAGCTTTAGAGGAAGATGTTTTTCATCTTGTCACGAGCGTGGGACAAAGAAAAAATTCTGAGTTCCCATGAGGAACAAAAAATCTCAGTCCCTATGAGGACATTGCTGATCCTAACAGTATGCAGGACGCAAGTCATTTGAACTTCGTAATAGACCTCGCTCACCGTAGAGTCTCTGTGGCTCAGTGGTAGAGCATCAGAGCGCGGAATCCGAAGGTCTGAGGTTCCTTTCCTCGTGGGGACTCAGAATTTTTTATTTGTCCCACGCTCGTGACAAGACGAAAAACATCTTCCTCTATTTCTTTACCGAGCTCAAAACTTGCCATCTCTCTTATTCTATCATTTAGTTTTATTAAGTTTTCTCTCCTCACTCGTAATCCTTATTTTTTACAGCGGTCTTTCGAAGAGCGTAGGCGGGGTGATGCACGGAAAAGATGGATGACGATGATTGATGCCGCTGCTCAGACTGGCGGAGCGCAACTCGATCCGGTCTATCGTGCGGTGTACCATGTACTCTTCAAAGACGCGGATGAGCATGGAAAAGGGAAAATATTGAGTTCTTCAGTGAGTATGCTTGAAAACAACGACGACCCGAGCCAAATGCACCGCGGTGAGACAATTTTACGATACATGTCCAGCACAGTGGATGACATTCCATACGTTGTGGGCAAAGTTTTGTATAGAGACATGAAGACAGTTTCTTGGGCTGCAGTGGACTCTGGGAAGCCTATCCACGTCCCTAAGGTGTCAACTCACTCTGGAGTGACGATGTGGAATCCTACCCGGAGAGAAGAGGTAAGAGTTATGCGAGTGAGATCGCAGCAAAGAATTTCCAAAAGATATCATTGAATTTTTCCTCGTTTCCTTTGTTTTGATTGTCCTGAAGAAGATTCCAATGCTGCAAAAAATACCGGGGGACATTTTTCTCTTGCAACAGAATATATCTTACAGTTACGTAGTATGTAAAGCGGCCAAAATCTCTTATTTCTACAATTCCGTTTTCCTGCGGGATTAACGCGGGCAATCCCGAGCCCTTCTTATGATGGAAGCTTGGCTGGCCTTTGCGGAACCTGGTACCAAATCTGTTCAACAGGTTGCAGTGAAGTAGCGCAGATATTAATAACGGGTATGCCTTTGGTCGTGGTAGGACTGGATAGTTGACCTAACGGGGGGTCTGTGGTTTGTATTGGTGTTCTTGATGCTGTGGTGGAGCAGGGTAATGGTGCTGTGGTTGAGATGAAAATGGGTACTAGTTAATCAGTGTTAATTAATGATCCTTTTTTGTTCCAGGGAGGAGACGGTTCGTTTATTGCACTGCCGCTAAAGGATCATGAACGACGAGTAATCGGTATCCTGGGTATAGACACCTTAGCGGACCCTCATAAACCAGTATTCATCACACATGAGATCAGCTTCTTCCAAGGTGTAGCCAAAGCCTTGAGTCAGGCCATACAGTTTGTTGATATTCGTCGGAAAACACTCAGAGTTGCTGAGTCAGCAGTGTCTTGGATCTTGCGACGGAGTCCTAATGTGCAGAATGTCAATGTTTACTTAGTGGAACCCGGATTAAAGGTATCTATTCTTTTTTTTAAGTGTTGTTGTCGGGCCTTTGGTCAGTGGGGAAGGAGACTTTTCCTCTGTTTTTGTTTCCTTCCCTCTGTTGGTCTAATGGCAGGAGAAAAAAATTTTTTTAGGCCTTTACCATGTTGTAGTCGTTGTTTCATTTTCATTTTCCTCACTGTTTGTCATCAGCCATCTGACGGTTTGGTCCTCCGCCGAATGAGGACGCTGGCCCATAACGGGTTCAGCCAGCACTATACAAGTCCGCCAAGGCTGGACAGAAGAGATAACCTGTTCAGGTAAGAAGTAGAACTTCTCTTTAAGGTGATTCCTCAGAAAAAATTTTCGAAAACTACAATAAAAAAGGTAGGGCACAGTACAGGTTTAGGAGATACAATTGACCAAACTTACTCCAGTTATGCCTGTACTGGCACTAATCACGCGCGTCATTTTATCGGTTCATGGTACATTTTGCTGCAGCTGGAAGCAAGGGTTTTTAAAGTAACACTTGAAAAAAAATCTTTATAGGTAGAAAGTCTCTAGCGTATGGAACAATTTGATATGTAATTTGTGGGAAAATCACGCAAATTTAAACAACATCGACTCAAAATGTTTCTCGAGTCGTCCCTTTTTAAGGTCATAATTTGCATCTTCGAGTAACGGGCTTCGTGCACGCTTTTGTATAAGGTGGCGCTTATCGCACTCTTTATAGATAACAGTTACCAGCCTGTGATGTATATTTTGTGTCATATATCAGGGACTATTTGTTTAAATGTGTGGAGAGCTCAGAGACCATCACTGCAGATGCGTATGGAGAGCGTCACATGGCTTTTCCCCTCAGAGATGGGGAAGGGAGAGCTGTTGCCGTAGTTGACATAAGTATCGGTGAACTTAGAGCACTTCCACCGCACGAGAACAAGGAAATACAACGCATGCTCAAACTGCTGGCCAAGGCACACAGAGAGGTGGCTCGAGAAATCACCAGTGGAGCGGCAGAGAAACACATCGTGTTGGGTAAGTTGAATTACCTTTGAAATAGCTTTGCATGGGCTTTTTTGGAAATTTTCTCTTAACCCTTTACATCCCAAAAATTAATATTCGTATTCTTCACTCTGATCTCTGTATATTTACATTTCCTGTGGTAGTGACGAGGAGAATTTGTTTGACAATCAAGGGCTTCTTAAATTGATGATCATTTTCATTATTCTCATGACCTTTGCATTTGATTCAAGGATGATAATGTAAGGAGAAATTAGAAGCAAATCACATTTATGAGTGAAAGGGTTAGTCAGAGGTGGGGTGGTAATTCTTATTGCTTCCATACTTTGCATAATGTTGACGTGAAAACCTCGACTACTCTTGCTATTTTTGGTAGGACAACTAGAATTGGGACTTTAACGGGGATTTTGTCTAAACGACGGTAATGTCTGAACACGTTCGTGTTCCAAGTAGAAAAGGTAGTTAGCATTTGATTCTTTTGATTCCTTCTGTAGAGGTGGAAAAAGAGTACGAAGACGCCCGTATTGATGTTTTGTTTGACCGACTGATGCTGTTGGACCTGAGAGAGAACGTGGGAAGACTGGACGCCAGGTACATTTAAGGGTGATCTACAGAAATAGTCAGAATTGTAGAGATTAATACCTCATTCACACCAGCAAAACATGTTTAGTTTATCCAGGTTTAACTGAATGAAAATCCGAAACAGAGAACTAAAAAACTAAATATTCCAAAGATTTCAAATGGTCACCAAATTTTATTTTCAGCCCGCTGAATTTGAAGCCGGCAAACGTCGGTTTAGGCAGCCCCTATAGAGAAAACAAATTTCAGTGAACCGTGTTCAACAAAGCAGCTTTGAAATATGTTCAGGCTTTGGTGTGAACGGGGAATAAGACACCCCAAATCAGCGATTGCGGCTCGGTGGTTATAAGACTCTGATTTCCTCCAAAAGCCCAGTGACAAGTAAGCATGTACGAACTGTATCGAGCTCACTTACACTGACTCAGAAAAGGCAAATGGGCATGGAGATCACTATTTCTCAGCGAAACATTTTTAGTTTTAAGTACCAACACTGACCAACCGACTCTCAAAAGAAAAGGCCTTGTTTTAAACTCGAATGCCCCATCCCCTCCCCTCAAGTATCAACTCCTTAGGGGTAGTGGGTATTGGTTTCGCGTATGGAATATCTCATTTAAATAATTTTTTGATCCCAAGAAATGAAAAAAATATAAATCTGTTGGATCAATGTTAGAATTTGAGCAACTGCACACCAACCCCTCCCCTAACCTTACATTAACCCTAGCTTGTTATCAGTTGATTTTTGTAGGGTTAGGGAAGGGGTAGGTTGGTGCGTAGTTGCTCAGATACTAACATTGATCCAATCTGTTCATTAAATCGGCGCGAAGCACCAAATACGTCAGGTCTTCTGCGATCGCCCTCACCGTGTTATGACAGGTTCCAAGCTTGGATTCTTTCTGTATAAATAGCTTTTTTTGTCAGCTGTGTGATAGTCGCTGTGTTGGTTCTTCACTTTGTCGCCTTATTTTAATCCTCAGGGCTTTCGCCGAGATCAAGAGCTACAAGGATCCGCCCAAAGTGATTCACGATATTCTGAAGGCAGTTTTAGGCATCTTCCATCCGGATTTGGAGAAGCAGGACAAGTTTAACGAGTGGAGCATGTGCAAACAAATGGTCAACCCAGATCTAGTTCGTCTGATTACATCCTACGATCCTACAGCGAGGGCAAACACTGTTAGCGTGGATGCGAAATCTTTAGCTGGAAAACTACAGGGTAAGTGTTTCAATCAGAGCTAAGGAAAATATCACAAGGAGCCAACGATAGCTCACTATGAAATAATGTCAAAAGCGAGCGACTAAGTCGCGCTTGATTTTAAAGTTGGATTTTTTTTGACGCGCGGGTTTTTTTTAGCCCTTTTAACTCCAAAGATCTAATTGTTAATTCTCCCTTTTAGTTGCCACACAGTTCCTTGTAAAGTAGGTGTGAGAATTTGGTGGTAGATCAAGATAAAAACGTAGAAGTTACCGTGACAGGTTAATCATTTCTGGGAGTTGAAGGGTTAAACCAACCTCAGATGGAAGTAAAGCAAAACCGGTGCAATCCCGAGTTGCTTTCGACAGCCAATTGAAAATTGCTATTCTCTTTCCATTTGGTGCAACTCTTCCCTGAAAAATTGTTATTTTAGGGTTATGGTCGAATTGACGACATTTTTATCGACCACAATTTCCAGTTTCTGTGGGAAAGCAGCCCTCTTTTCCAAATGCATTTGTTCTAGGGAGTGTCAACTAATTCATTTCTGTAACTGTTTTGACTTTCAGATGTGCCTCAAGGTGCTGTGGCAAAGCACGGTTCATTACCAGCTCAGTATCTGTTCAATTGGGCTTTCGTTTGCTTGTCTCTGATTGAACACACGGAGAAGATGTGCGAAACACGTCCGGGAAAAGTTGTGAGCCCGCAGGCCAAGAGCGAAGTGGTCACCGATGTCGGAAAGGGAAGGCCCTCGCCCCAGGAAACATGGACGCGTTCGGATACGACCGAGTAATTTTCTCTTGATGAATCTAGATAGTAATGTTTTAGGTTAAAAGTCCATCATACATTTACTACGTAAAGGTATTCTAACTGAATACAACCGAGAATAGAGAAGATATACAATGATTACGAGTGTAGAACTTGGAAATTAGACGTAATTTCTTTTTAAGCTGCATAAACGGTTGCATGATCTTATATTCCAAGCTTTCATTTTGAGCAGCGCTGCCTTAACGGAGAGAGCTGTGGAGAAAGTTAACAGGTCTGACTTACTTTTGACTTACTTAATTTTTGCAAAATTTGTTCTCGTTCACGGTTAGTGATGAACTGGCAATGGGCGACAGTTAGATCACAACAACAACAACAAGAATAACGAGATCGGCGACAAAAACAACAGCAACAAAAAGAAAAATAACTATTACAGCAATAAACAACGACTAAAACAAAAAGAAATGGGAAAAAGGACTATTGAGCTTTTTTTCGTATGGAAAACGTATACTTAGTCTTGTTAATTAAAAAAAATTCTCCCGTAGCAGACGGCTAAGTTTGTGGTTGATACTCAAACAGCTTTCGCCCGTACGTCCTTTACTTGATTCCCTTTTGCCATTGCTCTATAACTATTTATTATAAAGGAGAGTACATTTATCAAGTTTTGTACATACTATATATGTATATATATTTTTTAGCTATCACAGACAGTTTTTATTTCTGTCCATTTTTGTATCAAGAGTTTGTTTAGTGTGGAACGAGCAGCTATTTTTCTAGGGAGTTTAATGTTTGTAAAATTTTAAAGACTTTTTCACGCGTGTTGATGCACGGTTTGACCAAGGTGCGAGTTTCCAAATAAAAATGATTTAAAATGACTCATTTTTCGTGATTTGCATTTTTATGTACCTTTTATGATTAAAGGGGGTAAGTTTGAAGAAATTGTGGTGCGTCGGTGGTGACGAAGGGCTAACGCTCGAAACGTCAGCTTTAGAAACTCTTATGATGGCCGATTTACATTTAAAATTTTACATTTATCCTTATTTACAGTGGATAAAACCAAATTATCAATGTGTACCTTAATTATCCATGAATACCAGCTATTTGATGTAATTTTTTTCACATGGCTTTTAGGTATTGAAAGGTCCAGTCCCGTTTCCAGTTAGGACATAAACGTCAGGTTTCAAGCCCACCGTAGCGGTTAGTGGTGCAAGTTAAAAAATTACCGACGACCCTTTTCGCGTTCCTCAGGCAAATTAACATTCATAGTTAAGTCAGTGTGTATATCTGAATGAATTTCTTAATACAGGTTCTATTCATAGATAAAGCCCATGTGGCTCTCGGCAAAACTTGATCATTCCAATACCACCAAAAGAGTCTTCGGTAGAGTTGCTCTTACTTGGAACAGTCGTGACGAAGCAGGCCACTATTTAGTGAAAGATATTTCTGAATGAAGTCTTTAAGTGATGATAATTATAGTGTTGTTTTATCAATTGTAGGTTTAGTGCACGGTTCTTTAGGAGAGCACTTCTTAATGACGATGGATACCGTGGATAAATAAAATTCTTATTTACTCATTCATTTACATTCGTACAGTCAGTCACTTTCAAGTTTTCAGATTTGACGGTTATCTAGTCAGCGGTTGTTCCCTACGTCATGTACGGAGAACAGTTCACGTGCGAAAAGTAAAGTATCGATCGACTTGTAGTATTTTGGAAGAGTGTATTCTCTCATTTTCGCCATGGGTATCCTCGAAAAAATCGCCGAAATAGAAAATGAGGTATTTCTTTGTTTTATTTCCCCCCCAACTTTTTCATGATGGTGTTATTTCATGGGATATTTTGGTCAATTACAGATGGCGCGAACGCAGAAGAACAAGGCAACAGCCCACCATCTTGGATTGTTGAAAGCTCGATTAGCGAAATTACGGAGGGAACTCATCACACCAAAAGGCGGAGGGGGAGCAACAGGAGAGGGTTAGTGTTACGTTTAATATTTCAAACAGCTGTTAAGATGTTTGTTCTTGAGTTGTAGCAAATTTCTTGGTAATTACGTGGTAACACCGGTACCCTTAAATATTAAATAATATTTCATATACCAGAAGAAAGCCTATCTTGTCTGTTGATTGATCGAGTTACAGTGCTAAAATTGATGTATAGAGAAAATGCGTTGTGACAATGTTTTAAGAGGAACATGATGTTTCTCTCTGAGGACTCAGATTGTTGTTTCGGTCCAAAAGCGACGATTTTGTCACCTACGTATTCCACGCTGCCATTTATATAATTATGTGGCAAGATTTTCATGTAACCCCATACTTTATCACGGTCATACTTATTCAATAAAAGAAAACAACAGCAAAAACCGTGGTTTGCTGCTGGGAGTAAGGGTTTTTTAAGAATAGCATTGGGTTGTATGAAAATCTCAATATATTTGTTACCACCTTAAGAAAAGAAAAACATGCAATAGAGGAAAACAAAGTACCCCTGAATGACCTGCAAAGTTCTAGTTAATATTTGGGGTGTACTTCATTATAAAAAAATATTAAATTGCTGGTTGTCTCTCAATTGGGAACTCATTTTGTTTAAATTTATTTTGTGTGAATTTCTCACTATTTACAGTACACTAGTAGGACAAAAAGTATGTCTGGTTTTGTAGGTTTTGATGTGGCAAAGACTGGTGATGCTAGAATTGGCTTTGTTGGTAAGTTGCATGTACCTTTGTGGTACCTTGATTAAATACATGTACAAGAAACACAACAGTAATAATTGGTGCTCTTTTCTGTAGTGCATTTTGATGGAGATTTTCATTACTGTAGAATTTATAAAAGAGAATTGTACTCCCAAAGTCATATTTTGATATATTGAAAATTTTACAGATACTTAATGGTAGTAAAGCTGAAAACCACATTGTGTTAGTAGCATACCTCTTCCTCAAAAATGTTAGCAATGTTACCGGACAAAAAGTTTAAAATTTTTATTTCATTTCAGCTGTTTGGCAAAGCTTACCTGAGATGACTTGTTTTTTCAGACTTTGATGTAAATTGGTGAAAAGAAAGCAAGAATGAGTTTCTGGTTTGTTGAAATTGAGATGGATTTTTTCCTCTGTAGGGTTTCCATCTGTTGGAAAGTCAACTCTTTTGACCACTCTGGCAGGCGTCTACTCAGAAGTTGCTGCTTATGAATTCACCACCCTTACCACTGTTCCTGGTGTGATTCGGTATAAAGGAGCCAAAATTCAACTCCTTGATTTGCCAGGGATTATTGAGGGGGCTAAGGATGGCAAAGGAAGAGGTCGTCAAGTTATCGCAGGTGTGGTGATGTGTTCTGCATTGCTCAACTTTATTTCAATTGATATGAGGGTTCTTGATAGAATGTGAAGTAGGTTTCTGTCCAACCTGAATAAGGGAGCTGTGATAAATGACATACAAGTAAAGAGTGAACAAAATTTAAGTAGCTATAAATTCTGAAGAAAACATATAGTTAATAAAATAATGGAAGTTTTTCCATGGATATCCCTCTTTTATTTGATGGAAACTTCTGTGATGTTTGGTCATCAGATTTGAATTTAACTTGTCCAAAAGTCTCAGAGAAAATCTGACCTATGCTGTAAATGTGTATTATGGACAGATACATGTAAGGAAAGACACAAAGCTGGATTCTGTTCAATATTAAATAACGAATTGGTTTGGCTATTGTTTGCCATACGGACAAAGTAATGTTGCATAGTATTTGGGTTAAGAAATGTGATGTCTTAATGTCAGTTTTTCTATTTGTATTTTTCTTACAGTTGCCAGGACATGCAGCCTGATTTTTATAGTACTAGATGTGCTAAAGCCCCTGGGACACAAGCGACTCATTGAGCATGAATTGGAAGGATTTGGTATAAGGTAAAGATTGTTGTGATTAAACTTCCAGCCCTTGTGCCTGTAGAATAAAACCTCTCTTTGACATCAGCTCTTAGGCAACAACTAGTTTATCAGTTAATCAGAAGTATAACAAAATTTTTGAATGTGATTGGTTATTACCAGCCTGATTTGGGCATGAATAGGACAGTGTACATGTCATACTTGCAATTGGACAGTGTAATAGGACAGTTGTAATGTCATGCCTGTATAAGTGGACAGTATGTTCATGTGCTGGCAGTGTTATCATGTATTTTGCTGAATAATTGTTGTTGTTTTTTCATGAAAACGTATCAGTGATGTCTCCTTTCTTTCTCAAATTTGTTGTAGTTTTGATAAATTGGTAACAGGATTTTGTGTTGTCCAATTCTGCCTGTAATCATAGAAGTGATAAACAAATCAGGCTCCAGCTTCACAGTCATCCAATTTTGTTAATCACTCATATGATTACAAACCAAATTGGACTCCACTTAGTGCTATTACCATTATTAATTTAAAACTTGTGTTAAGTGGCACTGTATCAAGCAGTCACCCTGTATAAAGCAGTTAGTCACCCTGTATAAAGCGGTCAGTCACCCTGTATAACGCAGTTAGTCGCCCTGTATAAAGCAGTTAGTCACCCTGTATAAAGCGGTCAGTCACTCTGTATAAAGCAGTTAGTCACCCTGTATAAAGAGGTCAGTCACCCTGTATAAAGCAGTTAGTCACCCTGTATAAAGTGGTCTATCACCCTGTATAAAGGGGTCAGTCACCCTGTATAAAGTGGTCAGTCACCCTGTATAAAGTGGTCAGTCACCCTGTATAAAGTGGTCAGTCACCCAGTAGAAAGCAGTCAGTCATCCCATTGAAAGTGGTCAGTCACCCCAAAGAAAGTGGTCAGTCACCCTGTAGAAAGCAGTCAGTCACCCTGTAGAAAGTGGTCAGTCACCCCATAGAAAGCGGTTAATCACCCTGTAGAAAGCGGTCAGCCACCCCATAGAAAGCAGTCAGTCACCCTGTAGAAAGCAGTCAGTCACCTTGTAGAAAGCGGTCTGCCACCCCATAGAAAGCAGTTAGTCACCCTGTAGAAAGTGGTCAGTCACCCCGTAGAAAGCAGTCAGTCATCCTGTAGAAAGCGGTCAGTCACCCCGTAGAAAGTGGTCAGTCACCCCATAGAAAGCAGTCAGTCATCCTGTAGAAAGCAGTCAGTCACCCTGTAGAAAGCGGTCAGTCACCCTGTAGAAAGCGGTCAGTCACCCCGTAGAAAGCAGTCAGTCACCCTGTAGAAAGCGGTCAGTCACCCCGTAGAAAGCAGTCAGTCACCCCATAGAAAGCAGTCAGTCAACCCATGGAAAGCGGTCAGTCACCCCATAGAAAGCAGTCAGTCACCTGGTAGAAAGCTGTCAGTCACCCTGTAGAAAGGGGTCAGTCACCCCATATAAAGTGGTCAGTCACCCTGTATAAAGCGCTCAGTCACCCTGTATAAAGTCCCAAATGTGTTTCCCCTTAATCACTGTAATTTTCACTTCTGATGAGTGGTTACATATATTAAGCAGTAGCAGTCACCCTTAACTAAGTCATAAAAACCTCTTTTTGTTGTCCTCCACATGTATTGAATGGTCACTGAAAGCAGGATCATTCAAATGATACTAAGAATAATCTTTCAAGTTATTTTTAATCCATGTTTCTTTCCCAAAATCAAAGCAAGTAGTACCTTTGAGTGAGATGCTGTACACTAAGTGTTCAATTATGCCATGGAGCTGGGCTGTTTATTGTTTTTATAATTCCCCTAATCTGTGGAACCTGTCTTAAGTGGTCAATCTGTATGAAGCAGTCACCTGCCATTTCCCTAGGGTGACTGTATACAGAATTCAGGATGTCATTCAATCTCTTGGGATTTGACCAGGTTCTTTATGAGAAATCCTCTCTTTCTTCCAATGAAAAGCTGGTCCCCTAACTTTAATATCTAAAAAATATAGTTGTATTATGAATTGCCATGTTAGTGGAACAATAATTGCTCATGTATCATTAACATATTCAGTTGGTGTTATTTTTTTTGGGCAGGCTGAATAAGGAACCACCAAATATAACATTCAGAAAGAAAGAAAAGGGTGGAATCAACCTGCAGACCACAGTATGTATAGAGACACAGAACTTATAATCCTGCAGGAGAAATATTGTGAAATAAAAGGCTTACATGTACATCTTAAATACTCTAATTTAGAAAAGGTGCAATCGCAATAGGGTTTAGATTTATTTTTGAAGAGCAAGTCAGTAGTTTATTGGAGACAAATGATTAACCCTGTACACCCTAATATTAGTATGCATATTCTCTGTACTATTCTCTATACATTTTTTAAGGAGTTGAGATGGAGAATTTGTTTTACAATCAAGAGCTTCTTTTGTTGGTGATCATTCCCTTTATTCTACTGACCTTGATGTTTGATTCAGGGATAATATTGTAAGGAGAAACTAGATACTAGTCACACTAAGGGGTTTAAGGGTTAAGAGAATGGAAAAATCTCACTGATGAGGATTTAAAACAAAGTCTTTTGCTGTGTTTATGTTGTGTTTTGATCTCTCATTGAATCCAAAAAAATGTGAAGTGGTATTTTTAAACTCTATTACAGTGCACCCAGTCTGAGCTGGACATTGATTCGGTGAGATCCATCTTGAGTGAATACCGCATTGCTAATGCTGACATAACCCTGAGATATGATGCCAATGCAGATGATCTCATTGATGTCATTGAAGGAAACAGGTACAGGAAAACAGAACTTAAAAATCTTTATCTCTATACATGACTATTATTCTCTAATGTTAATTAAACAGAGATCAAGTTCCTTCCTGGGTTATTATACTTAGAGCAGTAGTGAAAAGAGGACTTTTTTTTAACATTGTTTGATTTAAATTACTGATTCTTCTTTTTTAATTTCAGGGTTTACATTCCTTGCATCTATATTCTGAACAAAATTGATCAAATTTCAATAGAAGAATTAGATTTGATCTACCGCATACCACATGCAGTTCCATTATCAGCTCACCATAAGTGGAACTTTGATGACTTGCTAGAAAAAACTTGGGAATACCTCAGTCTTATAAGAATGTGAGTGGCACTAGAGTTAGTTTTTGAAACAATGTTTCAATGAATGTACTTCTTTATAGAATGCTGGAACAGCTACTTAACTGAACTAGATGTTGACTTCTCAAACAAGTCTTGTAAACCACCAGGGTCACCAAATGCAAACATCAACACAGAGTCATGGCAAAAGTCAATATATCTTTATGTTTAAAAGGAAAAAAAAGCCCTCCTTTCTTTTTCTGTGCTCTTTGGCAACACTTAATACATATAATCTAATGGATGAAACTATGAATTCTGAAGAGTTTAACTCTGAACTGATAGGTGACAAACCAGTTGGCTTTTTTCAAATTGCATTGGAGCAGTTTAACTTGGTGCTTTTGAGAAACAATTCAATTGAGTGGTAGAATGAAGGATTTGAATTTGTGAACTATACATTACTAATCTAGCTCTCAGTGGCTACAATTGGTGGGGGGGGGGGGGGGGGGGGTTGGGGCAGAAGCAGCTTGAGTGCAGAACTTGTAAATAAGTTTTCCTTCTTATTCCTGGTAGATATACAAAGCCTAAAGGTCAGCTACCAGATTATGAAAGCCCTGTGGTGTTGAAAAATGGCCAGTCATCTATTGAAGACTTCTGTAACAACTTACACAAGAGCATCATGAAAGAATTCAAACAGTAAGGCTTCCTCTTCCTAGTAATATATAAGCATACAGTATGAAGCTTTAATCCAAACACTGAGCCTGTCATTACTTACCAGTAGTTATCATTTCTCTAAAATTTATCCCATACACTAGAATGGCTGAATGTTTACTTTTTCCTTTTTTGCAGTGCATTAGTTTGGGGTTCATCTGTGAAATTTAGTCCACAGAAAGTTGGTAAAGAGCATATATTGCAAGATGAAGATGTTGTTCAAGTAGTAAAAAAGTAAGTGCCTCGGGTAAACTAATATGATTTTGTATTCTAGATCAGTTTATTTGCCCTGATTTCTGTTTCAGTTACAGTTAATGTTATGGTTATGATACTGCATAGAATTTTTTGATTGACCTGGTTATCGTTATGAGTAGTTACATGCTTCTAATTTTGGCTTTCTTTCCCTACAGAGTGTAATGATGAAAAGAAAAACCTTGAGGAGAATGATTTCGCCTGCTATGAACTGACCTGAGATGAGAAAAGCACCTTTTGATCCCATCGTTTTAGATGGAACTATTTTTTGAGCTGAAATGTTTGTCTATGTGGACAGAATGAATTGATCATCATTAGTCAAACTGGTGATATTGATATCAAATGATGCTTAATCAACTGAGAACATGGTGGTTGTTTCTGTTCACTACATAGTCTTCCTTCATAAGCACTGCTTGAAGCTGCAACTTTCTTGTTAGAAAAAAATATAAAATGACTAAATATGCAGTGCAGGGTGAAAATTTGGCCACCTGTGTTTGGCAGACCAGAAAAAAGCCGTAACATTTTCATTATGTCAAGTTTGTGATCCAAATTTGAAATGAGATGAATATCTTCATGAAATATGGTTGATAGTCTGTCGTTGTGTTTGATGAATGTGTTGTTCTTTCTCCTTTGTTGGCCTTGAGATGTTGGTGAACTTCCATTAACAATAATTACCATCATGCTATTTGTTTTCCAAACTAGCACTCAAAGGCAGTGTAGTACATAATGAATTATAGCCCACTAATGAATTTCTGCGAAATTTAATTGGCTACTTTACATTTCATGGCTAAAAATCATTGGACAGTTATCACGCAATAACCTCCGTCAGCATTAATATTTGTCCTGTGGGTATTTCTGTTGAAACAAAACAAAGCCAAGAGAAAGAAGCCAGGCGGAGAGTTTCCCATTTTCAACTTTCGTATTTTACATGGAAGAAAAACCAACTTTTTAAAGTTGAGTCCAGTGAGTAACATTAAAAGGACACTATTACTGGTCACAAATGCTTCTCCTGAAGTTACAGAAAGATCAATAAAACATGCTGTCAACTTCTCTGAAGGTGAAGAAAGTTACCAACAGACTTTCAGATTTAGTCTTAGACAAACTTACAGTCATTTTATAAAATAGAGTATTCATTCACTGTATTTACTAACTATACAGTAAATAGATCAACCGTTCTTGTCAAACTTTAGCATTTAGGAAAGAGAGAAAAATCCCAGAGCGGTTTTTGTGCAATATAAACATTGAAAGGAGGGTTTTAGAACAAATAAACCCCTTTCTGGCTTACTGGTATATAACTTTATATTCTCACAGAGTATTGCAGTAGAAGTTGTCTTCCAGTGATTTTTAACTCTATTCAGTAACAGATGACAGAGGTGAAGGGTCCTTGACTCCCACTCAGGGCTTGGGATCTCAAGAAAGAGCTTGCTGCAGTTAATCAAGTTATTTTTAGAAAGATGTTATTCCCATGAGTCATCACACACCTTTCTCTTGCATTGCCTCTCTATCCTAGTGTGTAAATGGGCTCTGATGAACTGTCAGGATGCTTACCCCTGAACACCCTGAAACCAGTATGCAAATTATTCATGCTATCCTCTTTACATTTAATATGGTACTTTTAAAGAGAATTGTCCAACAATCGAGAGCTTCTTGAGTTTGCAATTATTTCCTTTATTCTCATGAGCTAGATGCTTGATTTGGGGGTAGTACTGTTGGGAGAAATTAGAAATTCATCACTCTAATGGGGTACTGGGTATGAAATAAACAGGCAACCCTGTGATGGACCAACATGTTTTTTAGAGGACATTGTAATAATTTTCATCAGCGTGTTCTGGTGTTTGTTGTAAACTTTGTACAGCAAACTTGTGTACCAATTTTTATTCCTTATATTACATAAATATTACTATACTGCATTTGTAATTAATGTGTTAAAAGTATACAATGTCAGACACAGGCTAAAATTTAAGTACTGTAAGTTTGTAATGGAAATCACCTGGAACTAATACTTATGTTCAACATGCTCAACATGTTGACAAGAAATAATGCTATTTTCCCAGCAAACTAACTGCTAACAGAAAAGAAGAAACCTAATCTAATCTCTACAAAAAAAATTGAAAATGCTTTAAAAAAAGACTTACAAAAGCAAAGAAATTTTGTCTAGAGATGGGATGAAAGAACACAGAATAAGAAATCCTATGGCATGTAGGAAACACATACCTTGAAAATCTGATGACCTTGAGAAAAACTTACAAGTTACATCTGAACTAATTCTGTAGAGTGACTGGTTGTTTGTTGTATCATTTTCTAGTTGCAACTTTGGAAGATGTTATAATTTTTAGTTTAATGTTAACTTTAAAAAAATCTGTTATTGTAAAGGCCACTTGGCTTAAAAGTTTGACAGCATTACTGAAGATGAAATGCTCACATGCCAGGGGTTAGATTTATTTACAGTTACCTTCTTAATAATATGGGAAAAATGATTACAGCTGACCATAATTGCATCCATAAGCACAAGGGGAGAAATTCAAAAGCAAGCAAATACAGTGAAGAATGTTGATGTAATTCTTAGCTCAATTTGTGTGACTGGACTACTTAGTTTCTTAGTAAATGAGCTAAGTGAAAAGAGTTGCAATGTGAACACTAAAGAGGATTCAAAATGAGAAGAAAAAGACTTCAATTCTGTCCTTAAAGAAAACAAAAATAATCTTACATTGCATGCCCCTTGGGTCTAATTGCACCAGTATGAGTTAATTTTGCCCTAAAGCTTGTTTCATAAAAGTATTTGAGATTTCTTAGATAATCAAATAAGTGGAGCCATGAAAAAAGAGGCTAAGAATGCTGCAAACTGGAATATTTTTTGCAAATTTGGGCAGATTTTACAGTTGATAATCAAAATATTACTCCATAGAGAAGGAAATTAACACTTAATATGAAGTATCCCTAAAGATATCTTCTACGTTTTCAGCAGCATAGGAAAATTTGCAAGTTGCAAGGCAACATTATATTCTACATTATCCGCTCTTGAACAGTTCTAAGCTTTACTTTTCAGGTGTATCTTCTGTGGTTTCTTGCTCTTTGATTTTATCATCAACAGTAACTGTACTTGTTGATTCTTTTGCTTCCTTAGTTTCACTAGTCTTGCTCTCTGTTTCATTGTCTGTGTTTTCTGATTTATTTTCTTTGTCTTCATCATCATCATTTTCCTTGACACTGAGTCCTTCCAGTTCTTGTGCTAACTTGTTACTTTCTTGTGGATTAGTTGTTTTGCTTGTTGAAATATCATCCCTGGCCTTGACAAACTCTTCTTTAAACTTCTTAGCATCTGTGTGATTAAAATATTTCACCGAATGAAAAGGTAGAAAATGAGAAATTACACCTTGGACCTCATTAAAAAATTATAGAATTACCTTAACCCCTTTGACCATGCAGGATTGTTGCTACACACTGGCTGATGGAAAAGCAGCATTCACCAGCTGGATTTCTGACCTGCAATTGCTTGGTAAACCACTAATGGCAGTCCCAAGGTTATCCCCCTTAAAATTGTTTGATAACGAATGCTATCTTTAAGTAGCCTCACTTAAAATTTCAGCAGGCAACTTTATTTCTTAGCTACAACCCTGCCATGGAGATGCTCAGAATCTATTTTTTTCTTTTTTTCACAACAAACCAAACAGGAATGGGGTGTTCAAACCTGAGCACATACCTTTACATAGGGATATGATTGCTTCTGGAATATCACAATTAAACAGGTAACTGTTATCTAAAACAGGAATATTTAACTGATATAAATACTCACTTTCTGCATTGGCAAATCTTATAGCCAGAGTTTCTGTTTTAATTTCTTCATCAGCAAAGTCTGGTGCTGTCCAAACCCAAGCTCTGTCACTACCACAATTTGGCCTTAATTCCATATCTTTAGAAACTAAATTAGAAAAAAATAAGCATTCAACGAGTTAATTTTTCAAACAAGTAGGCTGGAGTACATTGATGAGAGACCCAGAAAATACATTTTTTATCTGATAATCAATTGACTTGTTATGCTAAAACGTATACATTTGATGTCAAGGATTGTTTATAAAAACGAAACTAAACATTCACTTTACAAAGCTTAATTGTTGAAATAACACCTATGCAAAAAGAGAGCCTGCTCATTGGTCAGGTGCCCCTTAATTGATAACAAACAGCACAGAAATTTGAATTGACTATTGACTGAGTTCATTAGCAAGTAATGAATTGATTCCTCGTGAAAATTGAAATGTGTGTTCGTTACTTTTCAGACAGCAAAATGCACTCTCTCTCCCTTTCTGATTTTGAGTCAGAAAAAATTAGCCTGGCTTAATTGTTCTAAATTGAATATTTAAACTCCTTTAATTTACCATGACGACAGTTTCAATACTTGTGTAACCGTACAGAGTAATTTTAACCGTTAATGGCGTCGAAATCATACTCACTGTAATGATTTGCACATATTTTGAACGTCTTGTCTCGTCTCATGAGAACTCTGTATGTTCCCTTATCACTATTTTTCAAAATCTTTATTTCACCGACTCCTCTCTCTTTCCATTCGTTTTCCTCACCGCTGGTTTCGAATCGGTACAGCTTCGCACGTCTGTATACAGGGAAAAGGAAAATTACGGCAAAATCAGCGAGCATGTATGCCGATCGACCATTTACGAATCTAGCTGACAATCTGGTACGAAAATTTGCGATTCGCAGCGACTTACAGTTTCAAGAGCAATTCTTCGTTTTCTTCCAGTGCTTTGAAATTGACATCTATCTTGGGAAGGTTGACGATCGGTTCAAAATGAACGTCAGGACTTGCGGGAGCTTCGTCAGATGTCTTTCAAGCAATTACATTAGAAGATTATTAACGCTTTCATTAATGATAATAGACACGCAGAAACATGGAAAAATAAATAAGCTACCTTTTCATTGCTCATTGTGTACTTTTGACGATAAGATGAACAAGATATAACAGGATTTCCCAGG